ATCAGACCAACAGTTCTTTTATTTACCTGCCTCTAGGTCGATCTCTGATTGGACAGTTTATCTTATCTTACAAGTACGCAATGACCGTACGCGGTTAAATAAGGGGTCACAACATTTTACGACGTCATTAAATCCTGCGTGTTTCGTCGTCACTGCATTGTCCATTTAATTCAGGGAAAACTGCATCTATTTTGTAGGTCTGTTGGAGAGAGGTCGAGATTACTCAGGCCTAGTAGCCGAGGGATGACGTGTCCAATTGGGCCATGGACGGCTGTGACTGTCTGAATGTGCGTCTGTGCGCATGTTGCGGCCGGTCAGACTGCAGTAGGGCCAGCGCGTCTAGAACCATTCGCAAGGAACGTAAATGACCACGAGGAAGCGGGACGTTGAGCGAAGACGCCAAACGTCGTAATAATGACTGCTGGCCACAGACAATAAATCCTGTGGTTTCCTTATGCGATGAATGTGCTTTATGTGCTTGATGCCGACTAAACTGTTAAGGACTCTCTTCGCAGTTACCTCGCTGCCTATTTTCAGTCAAAGGTCTCGTCGGCTTGTGACATAAGAACATTTTGCATACTAAACTCGTCTGTTTTCGCCCGTGTCATAAATTCCTAGCCTGAACCGCGACCACTGCCAAGTTGCCGTTTTGCGGCCTTACAATCTTAAAAAGGGCATCCACGTGGTCTTTTCCATCGTCTGTTTTTTTTAAACCAAATGCAAAACAACAGTTCATTGGACTTTCACTTCCATGCAGACATTCAGTAAGACATCTTGAGTATACAGTTTCTTGAAATCAGTCTACTGTCTGCTTGCTTACTTAGGGCCCCGAATATGAGGCACTTAACTGCTCAACAGAGGATACCACCGATCTGACCCAAACCGGCAATTTCGTTGATGTGTTTCTTAAAATTATCGAGGGAGTTGTGCATGCGTTTTCTGCAATGACAGTGCAAAACCCACATTTATTATTATCGACTTTAGTAGCATAATGCAATACCGAAGATTAAATTTACTATGATAAGTGAAGATATTAGCGTCGTTTTGCGCGTAGTGCTGGAGCTGGAGGACCTGGGGGACACGTAAGACACCTCATTCCACTGAGCTGGGGAATGTCTGGGACAAACTGAAAAGTGCAGCCGAAGTGACGGATCCTATAGGTATTCTACATTTTTTCGGAGGATAACGGGTCTTGTTATCTATGAGTGTAGCAAAGTCGCCGCTCTTGAAGAAGTATCTGAAAGGCTTCCCTGGAAGGTATATGGTGGGAAGATCGCGACTGAATGTGAGATAGTACGTCTCGGCAAAAGGCTCGGAGCCGAATAGAACCTCTGAGATTTTGTTACACCTACCAATAGCAACTCTTGAGGCATTTGTAATCGGAGAGGAGCATGGCTAAAAGGTTTGACGTCAGCCGGAACAGACCTCTTGTCAAATGCAGCGACAGCGTCTGGTGACGGTTCGGACGAGACTTTGGGATCAAGGTAGAGGTTAGTGCGCGAAACGATGGCGTCAGAAACGTCGGAGAGGAACCGGTGATGCAAAGCAAACGTGCCTTGGAATACCTGCAACTGGGGTTTGGGCGTTTGCTAAAGAAAAGTTCGTATGTCATCAACCTTATGGCTGAAAGCCTGGCGATTTTGGTTCTGCAGCCCCACTTGATTGGTACCATATAGTTAACCTCCTAAAACAATTTTAGTTAACATACCTGGCTTAGCCACTCGCTGGACTAGGACGGGAAAGAGAGCTCAAGCAGAACTTGAAGCCGGCGCAGGGAAGCGAGTGAAAGTGGCGTGTACATACTCACTCCCCGACACAATCAGTCGCTGGATTAAGAGGATATGGGGGCGCAATCACGGAGGGAACCGCGTGGTAATTCGCAGTTCATGGCTACTGTAGGGGGACCGAGGGAGTTCAAGATTATTCGAACAATTCCATTAGCAAGTCTGCTTGACTACTTGTTGGATTAAGAAAATAAAGAGGGTGCATTCAGGGGCTCGCATGGAAGCGCATGTGAACTGATACCTGGAGTAACCGAGGCTGGCGTATAAGCACTCCTCCCCCCGTGACACAGTCACTCGCTGAATTAAAATGGTAAGGGAGATGCAAATGCGTGGTAGTTGCAAATTCAGTGTACTCGCATTTACTAATTTTTTTAGAAAGCTTACCATATGGTATCACTCAGGTGGGGCTGCAAGACCAAACCTCGCCGAAAGCCTGAATGACTCTAGAGATAACTAGACGGCCTAAGAATTAGAAGAAAGATTAGCCAAAAGCGCACTTAATGAGGTTGATGGTGTCGCAGAAGTTCTAAATACGGCGAAACACGGTGACGATTTGCTCATATGGTTTTCTAACATTGCTTCTGACCATCAAGGGGTCATAACTCCCGGGTTTAGACTGAGGGAAATCTGCCACAGATTGTTTGAAGGGCTGGGAAACGTTGGACAGGGTGAGAAACCCTAGTAAAAACCAAGACGAGTCAGAAGGGTGCTTATCGGCCGTCTTTGGGATGGCACTTGGTATCCGGTTGAATGTCCAGACCGGGCGGATTATGAAGACAGGAGACTTGCAGAATGACGCGTCAACAGATTTCCGGAGATGAGGCGCGGATAGCCGTCCGCAGTGGTAACCTTGCTCAGCGTCCAGTAGTCGCTGTGGGAACACCAGACACAGACGTGGCTTTAGGGACCGAAGGACTTTCCGGTTACCGGACGATCCGGAGTTACAGCATGTAGTCGAACTCGGTCCTGGCGACAGTCACAAACGGGAACGCGATCACGCATGGCTGGGGAACCGTTAGCTGAGAGGTAACTGACCACTCGCGCGGGGTGTATTGGTGTTGCAGTTTGAACTAGTGAGTCCGGGATGCCTGCAAGTGGATTGTCAAATTGGACGCGTCAGCTTGAGTTCCAGGACGGCAAATTGCCGCGACATCCAAGGGGAAGGATTGCAGAGCCACAACCACTGTCGCAGACGTAGAAGGCGCGGCTGATACCGGAAGCATTGGTCGCGTTCAGCCCCTGACCATCCGATTGAATCGGGAGTGAAAGTACACGGTGGGCTACAGTGGCAGTGATTGTCGAGGACAACGCCTGACCAGGTGAATGAGGTGGCCTGGGTGGCCTCAGAATGAAGAATTGGCGCCCCGTTACTGAAAATAGGCTTTAGTTTAGGCTGGCTTCTCTGTCAGAGATTTCATTTGCGGGGGCGAAAGGTAGAACGAATAGCTGAGAAGCTTGTGGGGCTGATCTGCTAAAGACTTGGTAAAGCCATTCATATGCACAGCCGCTTGGTAACGAGCCGTCAACAAGAGTGGTAAAATGCAGTACACGTCTGGCGGAAAATTGTCTATTGTCTCAAATCGCAAGTCGGGCAGAGAGATTTCGAAAGACGGTCTTTACTGTGGAAGAGAGTGTACAACCAACTCAGAGAACAGCTAGAGGAGTGATGTCGTCGACTAAACAGACGGACGAAGTACGAAACAATGTCATCCAAGTTTCCTCAGGAACGATGAAGAAAGCTCCCTGAACTGCCCTGGCGTTCACTTATGTCGCCTGCAATCGAGAACGCATGATACCGTAGCTGAACTGGTAAAGTGTTATGTTAAATGAAAACCGACTTCGGATTCGAATCCAAAGTCTTCTCACTCTGGAGTCAGATAGTGGATAAGTGATGATGGTAGGGACCATTTCAATCTCCCTTGTCTATTTCCGTACTATTTATCGATTATGAAAAACCTTCTACGTAAGTGTCAGGTTCCGGCTCGGCGACGTCTTTTAACTTTTAGCCCCAAATGTACTGTCTCTCTAAGAAAATTCTTGTTTCAGAGTTTATGGTGCCGCTGTGAGGTATGTTGGACGTAGGTGGAGGTAAACATAGTTGTAGCAATTAAGAACCCATATCGTTTGCTCTTGCTGAAACTGTAAAATGCTCAGTTTTTTATGGGGATGCAGACTGTTGAAGTGCGATATCGGCCCTATCAGGAAACCTATTCCTTGGTATAGACTCTAAGCTCCATCAACTTTCGGATCGAGTGACGACGTCGGAACTGGAGTCGCTATAAATAATGCGCTGACAATACTTATCCACGTAGTTGGCGAGCTGCCGCAAAAAATAACTGGCTGAGACACCAAGAAAGACATTTAGCCTTGCAAACGAGCCGGCCAGTGCATGGGACAACAAAAATTAGCCCTTCATATGTCTTTGAAACTATCCAGAATGTCAGTCAGGGAGTGAAGTTGTCCCAGTGGTTTGCTACAGTCTCACACTGCATCGTCGTTGGGATATTCGTTTCTTATTTAGATAATTAGTAAGGGCCTTAAGATACCCTACTTGCAACAGGTGCTCACTGTTGACTTACTCGTCAATTTTCTTGTAATGATTAGACTATACAGCTCATGTGGCCATTTTTTTCTCAAATGTGATCTGAACAAGTGACTGGAAAGCGACGCAACCAAAATTCAGCCTACTGCCGTGAATAAACGGGTTGCCGCTGTGACGACTATTGTGCCCTCAACAAGGCCACCATTCCCCATTTTGGTATCCAGTGTCTCATCTTCAGGATTTTGCCGGAGTCCTTTTTGGCAAAACAGTTTTTTCGATGATTGACCTAGCGGGTGCTTTTCATCAAATTCCTATCGCCCTTGAGGATATCCACAAGACCGCTGCTACTACAATGGCACGAAGAATGTGTGAGACATGCTGTCCTGACCTTCACTCTCTGCGTTGGAAATCTCACACGCGATCGACCTTGGTGCCATGGCGGCTGAGCAATAGCGTGTCGGTTACCCTGGCGACGAGTTCATTAGTTGTTTCCAACTCGCGGACGTTTCCCTGACCGCCGGTAATGGTAACATCCTTTGTGACGTCTCGACTCCTTTTCATCGCCTCTTCGTGCCTTCTTCGATGCGCCGAACTGTGTTCCAACCTCTCCATGAACTCTCCCGCCCTGAGATCAGAGCTTCAGAAGAGCTCCTCGCGGAAAGGTTCGTCTGGCCTGGCATGGACAAGGATTTCAAAGCTCGAGCACGGTTCTGTCTGAGCTGCCAGAGAAACAAGGTGCAGCGCCAAGATAAGTCTCCTTCGGGTATCTTCCCCAGCCCTGACGAGCGGTTCAGCCATGTGAATCTGGATGTAGTAGGTCCTTTGCCTCCATCCAACGGCTACACTCACCTCCTTGCCTGCGTTCGTCGGTACACCCGCTAGGCTGAAGTCATCCCTCTGATGAACGTGTAGGTGGACACCATCATGAGGGAATTCGTCCGTCGTTGGGTCGCCATTTTTGGCGCCCCATTCATGGTTGCCAGTGACCGAGGAGCCCAGTTCGAGTTTGCTCTTCTAAGAGCTCTCCTCCTCTTTCTTGGTTATATGCGTATTCGGACGGCAGTCTACCACCCAGCTGCCAACGACATGGTCGAGCGTTTCTATCGCCACCTAAAGATCGCCATAGAGGACCCAACAAACTGGTTGGACAACCTGCCCCTTGCATTCCTTGGCATTCGCGCGGCACTGAAGTCGGATTTGGATTGCAGTGCAGCCGAGTTGGTTTTCGGCAATACCCTCCGACTGCCGGCTAGATGGTCATCCCAATCTCTCCTGGTGCCGACGAGGCTCCTGGCAATTTTATGCACTGTCGGCGGCGATTTATACGCTCGAGCTCTATCGGCACAGCCGAATAAGGCCTGGCCAACTGCAGTCATGTGTTTGCTCGGTGTGGCTATGTACGCAAGGCGCTGGAATCACCATTAGAAGGGCCGTTCCGTGTACTCTCACGCAATGCAAAGACCTGCCGGAGCCATCGCGGTGACAATGGGGACGTGGGTGGCATCGATCGGGTCGAGGCTGCTGTCGCGGAAGCGCCGCCGGACCTACCTCACAGACGAAAGTGTGCTGGCCTCCAACCTCCCCCAACCCCAACTCCCTGCGCCTTTCCCCCTATCCCCTACCCTCCTTTCTTTCTCCTTCCCTACTTTCGTTCCTCCCTCCCGTGTACTTCATTCTCCGCCAACTCCGCAATCACCAACTTCAACCTCATCCAACCCTATCAGCACAGCACGCACTCAATCATCTCCTTCTGTCGCCCTGTTTATGTCACCCATGGTGGGCGTCAAGTCCACTTTCCTGATCGATTATAAACTCATCTCTTTTAGACTTTTGTAAACCCCTTGACGTCGTTTTACGCCATCCTCGGGTCTCGGAGGGGAGTTCTAAGCCAACGTGTCTGGTTAAATGACCTTTAAAATTCTTGTCCCTGTTCCAGGGCTGTCCTGGTTATTTTATCGGAATACACACTACTACGGACCGATCCATTTGATGTCCCACGAACTGGATTGGGTTGCTTGAATGAGGTGAACGCTCTCCACGCGGATCTGGGATGGTAATGGTGTAACTTCGTGTCGGTGGAAATAGCCGGTGCTATTCCCTCTATACTGCCGACCCCCATCCCGCAGTTCGCCGCAACTCTCCTCTCAATCTACATAGACACCGTCCACAGCTCTTCTCTGCAATTGCCCACAGCGTGGCCTTCCCGACCGGCTATTTAGCACGCATATCAGTGTCACCTCTCCATCCAAACAGGTCATCCCTCTGTTTTAACTCATCCTCCTGGTATATTTAACTATTACCATATGCACTACATTTGCTTCAGCCTCTGTCATGCATTTATGGCTACCGAATTCTTTTGCCCTTTGCCAAGGTGAATGTAGTGAAGTGATTAACAACTCCCTTCAGCTCCATCTTGGTAAGCATTTGTTACCAGTACTGCACTTACTCAGTGCGTGCCACCTCCACTCCCCACTCCAGTCTGCTGACCGGCTCGGACAGTGACTGGGGGTCTGGGAATGGGAAGGGAGATTGAAGTCGGCGACTCAGCTCATTTTCCTCACTATAAACAATCTGACGCACTTAAAGCTATCACAGTGCGCTAAAAGCCGTGGCTTGGGAGGTTGTCGACTGACGGGATAACTTGGACCTCGCAGTCGGCCAAATGTTGTGTGTTTGTGTGGAGCGGCCGGCTGGTGGTCTAAGAATCAGACTGCAATGGCTCCTTCTTAATGTGGCCTTTATGGCATTCCAACTCCGTGGGATCCGAGATAGGTGTGACGGCACACCCAGGTGTGGCCCTGGCCGTGCCAGCCCCCTTTTGTTGTTGGTTGAAATCCTGGTCATCTGCTGTGTGGACCAGGGGATTTGGAGTGGAACGCCAAGATGCGGGCTCGACCGTGCCATCCACCTGCGCCCTCTGCCCACCTCCGGTCTTCCTGACTCCGTGTTGACAATGGGCCGGGGTGGGGGAGGACGAGAGGGTGCGATAGGCGCTGTACAAGTGTAAATTCATTATAAACTAATCCTCTCACAAGTCACCGTCCCCGTTTCACCCCGCTGTGGGGCACACGGTGGACACCGTCGGCAACGATGGTCGAACTGTCGTGTGCCACCCTCGACGTCAATGGTCGCTACACCCAGCATCGCTTGCGTGCTTCACCGTCAGGCCGTTGGATATCTTGAATATTAATTTTATTCACCTACTTGGGGCTCGTGAGATATAGGCTTCTAGTCCGTGAGAAGAGCCTTAGAATAACCGTTATATCCCGTTTTAATTAGCGGTAAAACGCTATTTGGGCAATATTTCCTATTCGAAAGTATGCTCGGTGTACGCTGTATAATGGACAGTTAGAGACTGCTAACTCATCTTTGACATCCCTTTGAGTAGTGATCTCATTTTAAAAAAAATACGCGTGGGTCTTCAGAAAACGTGTAATACTTTCTATGTCCTACCTGTATGCTCTGTGTTAGTCGTTTTTAAGTGAAAGGTCGGTGGGATATAGAAATAGAGACCTCCTGCCCGTAGTACTGGTGGTCCAGCACTAAATTAGGGTTAAGATACGGGAACAGGTTCCCTTCCTGGAAATCAGCGCAAGACCATCTATATTGCGGGACGTTCTCATTCCCGTTTTTGCCAAAACGCCAAAAAATACCTTTTCCGGAGGAGCTTATGCAGAGAAATATACGAATTTTGGTGTTCATCTGCCACGAAAACGGTAAGAGATTCTCTGTCATCCCTCGTGTCCCATCAGTCCAGCACTGTTTAACAATTCAGAGCATAATTTGATTGAAATAACGAACATTTTCTAGGGACAAATCGGAAACGACCTTTGTGCATTTTTATTCCAAAGCTGCTTACTTTTTCCGGACATTTAAAACCTGAGATATTGGTGGACCATCAGTGAAAAGCTGCCAGTTAGTAAAAATTTTGTCCGAATTCTTTCCTCTTCATTTATCCTTATTCAGAAAATCACACTACTCAGGGTAGGACCGAAGACAGTTCGATAATTTGACCATCGAGTACGATCTCGTATACAGCTGTCTTTGCCCCCTAAAGAGGATCGTGCGGTTGAGCGTTGAACTAACACAGAGGCTAGATGGAAGTGCGGCAGGCGTCATCGGAATGCGCAGCCATAACAAACGCCAACAGTGGGGTGTGATGGTAGACCCAGTTACTGGTTCACATTGTGCCAACTGGGATCCATGCCGCCCTCTATTTTTCGTGTTGTGTAAAATCCTGGTCTGTGTCCGTTGTGGACCAGGGGGTGTAGCGGTACGTCTGAGTGCACTCTCTCTCGCCTCCAATCTTCTTGAATCTGTCTTGACAGTGAATCCAGGTATTGGAGGAGGTAGTGTGTTAGGTTCTTTGAAAGTTTACTATGACTATAAACTAATTTACGCATAAGTCACCGTCCCTGCTCTCACCGTGCTGTGGAGCACGCGGTGGACATAGTCGGCAACGGCTGTCTAACTGCCATTCGGCTGTCCTACGACGTGGACCAGCAGCTTCGTCTGCGTAAAGTTTCATTTAAAGAGGCAAACTGTCGTTACATATGCGTCGCTTTCTCCTCCTGGACCTGCCATGCTCTGATGAGGGGACCAAATCAAGACCCCGGGCGCAGTGGCTGGCAAATTTGAACAGCTCGCATGTGCGTGACACACGTGAAAATGTCCCTACTTCATATGCATCACGCCGCTTTTTGGGGGACGCGGATCTCATCTCTCCTGTGTCATAAAAACCACGTTGAGAGGAAGCCCTTGCAGCCTGACGCCCAGTCCTGAGAAGGACAGAGTTACCCTAGTATTTGGTAACCCCCCCCCCCCCCCCCACCCCCATGATACGACTGATAGCCCGTCAGCTCGGTTGTAGCGAGGAGTGCGCGGACATATTGATAGGACGTTGTCTCTGACTTAGTCTGCCTTTATTCAGACAGTCATAGCCCTGACCACCATTTGCTGTCATACCTTGACCGAATTCGACCTGAGTTCGTGACATCTACCGCCAACTCTGTGTTCGTTTGCTTTGGGAGGTCGATGGATCAGTTTGAGTCTAGGTGATGATAGGTTGTAGGACCCAAAGTGAACTATCCCGAACAGAACTTTCTACTGTATTTGGTTTAGTAGGCATACTTATTTGTTTATTGGGCATCCTGTGCAACGAGTCCAGTGAAGACACTACCTTGCTCTCCAGCTATAACATGCCTTCAACTTAGTTCAGACCGTCGAGGGGCGGTCATAACACTTTGGTTACGGATACTACCTTACACTCCGAATTTACTTGCCTCGAGCTTAGCTAAGAGTGTCGAGAAACGATCATATCGCTTCGTTCGACCGTCGCAGAAGTCACGATGCAATTTACCATTACGTACCATGACCTTAGCTCAGAGAGTTGAGAAGCGATTATATCGCTCCGGTCGTCCGTCGTAGACTTTATCTAAGGATAAACAGACGAGAAAACGATCGTTCTGTTGCAGCCCTAATATCTTAGATATTACAAGACAGTTATCTTGCGGTGGCCTTATGTAAGGAACATAACTTACAAAATTGTCCACTTCTACAATGAAGGTTTTCCATTATAATGGATATGTCTCAGCCACGGGAGACAGGAAGACTTCCCATGCTTCCTTCAGTTCCATAGGCGATACTGCTGATAAGGGTTTCATCAGCTTGCACTTCTATCCTCTGTCCACCGATCTGTTTGACTTCCATCATGAGGGCTGCGGAGCATACATTTCGACAGAGCGCATAGCCACTCATCAGCTGTTGTGTGAGATACGTCAATGTCATGACTGTCCTGACTGTCAGTTGGCGCCTTTCAAGTATCGAGCCAGTTCTAAGGAATTTCCTCCTTCGGCACTGAACACACCTGAAGACATATCCGTCTGGGTGACGCCTCCGGACTTGTTGTTCCATTATTTGTCTGCATTGGCAGGTTACTATAGTTGGAAATAATCCTCTTGCCTGGAAATACTCCACCACTTTCTGCGCATTTATCTCCTTTATTAGTTCTTTGGCTTTTTTTCTGTAGAGGTGGATGAGCTTGTCCATTTTGCTGACTACTGTATCCAATAGGCCTGCAATTTTGGGAAAATTGGCTTACTAAAAACCCTCTTCACCGCTACACACAAGCCCCTCCTCTTAGGTATTCCCTGTTTAAATACATGAAGTTTTGAAAATTTAAACGGTCGACCACAGTTATCCTACATCGAAAATAACGTTTTTGAATTCCACTATGCGTGCCTAGTTGGCTAGATTTCGTTGGCCTAGTGTTCGCTGGCATCGCAAAACCGTACGCCAAATCTAAGTGCGGTTGACTCCCTCGCATCTTTTTCTTCGTTCTCATTGGTTAGACTTTCCTTGGATTCTTAACCTGTTGTAAACTATCCAGCGGCGGTTTACTTAAATTGCATTATTCTTTGAAATTTAAGGCTTGTTCGTTTAATCATCCCCCTAACTTTTCTTTGCTATATGTGAACGTATTAAAAGTTGTACGACACAAAAACAAATATCTTACGTTTTTTTCTTATCTTTTATCAGTTCATCTACCACCAATATGCCCCACCCGTAAAACCCCTATTACCACCTTTCCCGTCTGACAGGCTCCTGAGACTGGTCCCAGATGATTTGGGTCCTTCACCCTATCGTTGCCTGATCCTATACTGGCTTGCGTAAATACGCAACAGAAGATGCCAGGTGGGGAGACTCTGATGTAATGTGAAAGACCCACATGATAGACCCTGTTTGTGGACTACGTGCACTGTATGCGTGTGTGCACATTTGCGTTTCTGGCCAAGCACCCCAAAAGGGTTGCTTTGTTGTGCAAGACCGGCACAGGGGCCACAGTGACTCATGGCATGCGTTTTTTCGGGGTGCACTGAGTCTGCGTGAAACCTTAAATACTGCCGTAACTGTGTGTGTGGTAGGCCTGAGAGAGAGAGAGAGGCCGATGTCGCGTCGGCTCCATTTGACGTAGTCCTGGGAGAAGGGACCAGGTCATGTGTGGCGTGCGATGGACGGGTTGTTTGGCTGTGTCAACCACTGCGAAGACGCCATCATCAGTTGTCTGACAAGCCCGAACAGTCGACTGGTGTAGGGAAAAGGTAAGAGAGTGAAATCGATGCTGGGGAATCTATCCTAACGGGAATTCGACTAATTTCCCACTGCAGGAAGTCAGACGGACCTGAATGGTAACTGCCTTGTTAAATCTATTATTTTACAGAACAACCCATAACTATTCCCTTTGATGTACACATACAACTTAACTCTTTTTTATTTTTGTTTAAGTCGCAATTAACTGACCTCAACGGCACCTTCTGTTCGATGATTGAAACTCCCTCGTCTCATACCTTTGTTCTTTACGAGCTTTGATGAAATCAGGGGACTTAGTGGCGCGGTAGTTAACTTTGGCCTGGTATTACTCATACGTTTTAGGATGGGATTGGGCTATCGACCACTATTGCGCGCTAAACTTGAGCCAATCACAGCGCAGCAAAAGTCGAGCCTCGGAAGGCTGCAAGCTTATGGGTTAACTTTATCTTCCTTTGGAAGGAAGGCAGATTAGAGTGGTTCCTATTTAATTTAGCCTTTATGGCACCAGTAGAAGCAAGCAGGCGAGATTCAGGAAGCAGTGCAGAAGAAGAAGATGCGATTATTGGAACAAGAAGTTTACTGACCTGACGTTCCGGGTTCCTACTCGAACCCATCATCAGGGACAGTCGCAGATAAGGGTAGGGAAGGCACTGAGACTGCAGTATTTATAGTACGTAGCTGTCATGGGAGCAAATGGGTACTATAATTAACAGCTCTCGCGATCACCGTTGGGGGTCGTAATTGATGCGATGGTGGCTTGTCAGTCCGCGTCCGAGTCGTTAATGGCCGCGATTTCGCCATCTGTGTTGTATGCTGGCGTGATAATGACTCGGAAATTTAGCTCACTACCATTGGAAATGTTGCTCGCCCGGGCCCTCCGACATGACTGATTCCCCTGCCTAGCGAAGTCCTCAGAGCCGACTATGGTAACTGGAGGTCATTGCGCTTGTTGATGGATTACGGGCCTGAGAACCATGACTCGAGCAGCTCGTGGTGCATGCGGTTGTCACCTCTTGCGCGGACTTTGGTCTCCTGAGACTTGAAATATGGCCAGGTCCTGTGGGATGAGCCGCCACCCGAAAGCTAGCGTCTTCCCTCCTCACCGCTGCTGGGTGCGCGGTCATCCGGGTCAGGAGTAATCCCTCGGTCTCTCCGACGTAGTTGGCCTGTCTGCAACTGCACCAGATCCGGTAAACGACTCTAGACGTTTCCTACCGTGCCAGTGGCTCTTTCGGCCTCATTACCAGGTCTCTGATGGTTGCCCCCGGTCTGTGTGAAACTCCAAGTGGAGTGGGAAGGCGACTGAGGGCTTCTGAGACGTTTTTTAGGTACAAAAGAGTTCGCCGAAATTTAAGGCCGGTTGGGTTTGGTCTCTGGTTTCGTTTGCGTATGCACTGGTTCACAAAGTTGCGCGGGTAACCATTAACTCACAGTACCCGTCGAAGATATTGTAATTCAGCAGCCTGGTCTTCCGTTTAACCGAACGTGTCGGTATAGTTTTCTTACGTAATAGCGTCTGGGACTGATCAGATGGTTGCTGTTAAAGTTCGGCACTTGCATCGTATTTGTCGCTTTTCTGAACACTTTTGTTTTTAACCCACCACAGTCTTTGAGGCAAATGAGGGCATCTAGAAAGGCCGGCTGGTTGTTTTCTTTCCCCTACATCGTAAATTGAATGTCCGGTAACACGGCGTTAAGGCGTTCTTTGAGTTGTTACCTTTTAATTTCCGCAGAAATTACCTGCTAACTTGGAGTAGATCTTTTTACACTAAGGTCTGTAGGTGCAGACCGAAATTTGACATGAACATTTGGGACGAATTCCATCAGCCACAGCGGGATAACCGCGTAATATTCCCTAAACTGTCAACAGGCAGTTAGTAGTATATTTTGGCGTTAGAAGATACTATACTAGCAGGACAGGTACCAGCTGGGCTTTCAATTTTCGCGAAGGACTGTGGAGAATCATGCAGAAGTGCGGCTGCCCCGAGAGATTCACACAGGTAGTGCATCAACTCCACGATGCGATGATGGCGCGCGTCACGGACAACGGCGCAATTTCCGAGGCATTCGTGGTGGCCAATGGAGTGAAGCACGGCTGTGTACTCGCGCCCACCCCCTTCAGCTTCATGTCGACTACAGGACCGACGAGTACTTTCGCAAAAGTCGGCAAATCGAGGTCGCGACGTGCCTCTCCACAACTACTATCCACGATCTGATCTTCGCTGACGACTGCGCACTTAACAGCACGACTGAAGTAGACAGGGAACGGAGTATGGGTCTCTTCGCCTCCGGTTGCGCCCACTTTGGACTGACCATCAATACGGACTAGACGGTGATCTGGCATCAGCAGCCATCGACCGCTGGATACAGTGTCCCTCGCATCCATGCCCACGGCAACGACCGGAAGACTGAGGATAACTTCAACAATCCGGACAGCACAATGTTTCGCGGAATCAGAATCGACGACGGAGTGGCCTACCGGATCTCCAAAGCTAGCCAAGCCTTTGGCCGGCTGCAGAACTCCGTGTGGAATCGTCACGATCCCCAACTACATATCAAACTGAAGATGTACAAGGCTGTAGTCCTGACGACACTTCCCTACGGAACGGAGACCCAGACCGTCTACTCCCCCCATGCCAAGATGCTCAACCACTTCCGTTTCAGCTACCTTCCCGCAATATTAAAGCAGAAATGGCAAGACAGGATTCCCGACACGGAAGTTCTAGAACGGACCGGAATCCTCAGCATCCACGTCATGCTCAGGTAAATACAATTACGTTGGAGCGGCCATCTTGTGAGGATGGAAGATACACGTCTACCGAAACAACTCTTCCTTACGGATGTCCTGGGAGGACCTCACCCAGAACAGACCGGCCTGAAGAGGAGAAATGATGACTGGCGCAGCCATCTACGAAGCAAGTCGGATCGCTGCCACCAAAGCCAAAAGGGCTGCTAGTAAATCACAAGTGTCTCGCCCCCTCAATGCAATCCTCCGCATCCAACGTGCCCGCGCTGCCAACGCGCATTCCGGGAACGAATCGGTCGCGTTGGACACCCTCGGACACAATGCGCCATCAACCCGACAACGTTTATCTGTTCTCCCACTCTCGCCCCTCCCACAAACCCTGCGCCGACTGCCACCCCCATCACAGCCGACCACACCGTCGCTGCCGCGCCGCCACCATCCACCGACACCATCCGCCCTCCCCCAACCCCTGCATCGACCGCAGCGGCCAGCATAAACACCACCTCGACTTCGAGCACCATATTCAACGATGGGTCGACGTTCGACGTCACATCCCCTTCTACCCTCACCAAATTTCCCACCTTTAGCGATGTGGACTCGGTTCATACCTGTCCCCATTGTGATCGCGCATTCATCTCATACACCGGTCTGGTTGGTCACTTGGGAATCCGTCGAACGGAGACTGGCGAATCGGTGCCTGGAGCACCAATTTGCGCCCAACGTACCCGCCTCAACTGCTCTCACTGCCCCCACACGCTCACTCACCGCATGGGCTCATTAGCTCATATGCGCACTCACAAAATCCTGCGGTAGACAACCGCCGGCTACATCACGCACGCCCCACTAACAATTGCAGCACACAAAAACATCGCCACTGTATGTGGGAAGTGTGCTTTTCGGCTCCTTCTTCGTGCAGTTCCGCTGCTGTATGCATGATCTGCGTCTGAGACTATCACAGTGCCCCAAGCGCAGTGGCTTGAAGGGCCGACGACTGACGCCTCAATTCAGACCACGCATGTGAGTAGCGTGTGTTATTTGATGGGTAGTGCCTTTCAGTCGCTGACTGACTAATTACCCAGCTTTTGAATGGTGATGGACCAGTCAAATGCCAGGCTGTGTGTCACCCCTCTGGGCCCTAAGGTTTACGAGCGTCTGCTATGCCACTATCGGCTAACCGTCGCCATCGCATCTTAGTGTGCACTGGCAGTCCTCCGACACGTGGGTCTCTGGCGGTAGAGGCGCTTGCGTTCCTACTGGATATAAGGTCATGTGCATGGATGCCCAGTTATCCACGTCCTTTCTTTCGCCGTTGTTGTTGGTACAAATCCTGGTCAAGTGTTTGTTGTGGATCAGGCGGGTCGGTTCAGCCGCGCCATCAACCTGCGCTATCCCCGATTCCGACCTTATTGACCTGTCTTGACACCGGGTACAGGAAAGAGCGTGGTAGATGCTGCGCATGTCCACTCTCTTTGCAAGCTAATTCACGTACAAGTCACCGCACCTGCTTCACCTTGCTGTGGAGCCCACGGTAGGCATCGCCGGTTGCGACGGTCAAACTATCATAATGCTTGAAGGGCGGAGTTCAGCTGATCCATCACCCACCTCGCCCTCCAAAACAGGAGGGTGTAATTGTTCCCCTCTCCCTTCCTCACTCAGAAACCTACCATTAATCTGTGATCACCCCCTCTCAAACGCCTATGGCCTGTCTGTCCTGTCGCGGCGACCGGTCTGATTTCACAATCCAACCGTATAACAATCACTGCGTCTGCGACGAGTTGGTGTCATCGCATCACAACTTCGCGAGTACCACTCGGTATTTCCCAAGGACCTCATCTTGTTCTCTTATGCATATCTATTTACCCAATGGCCTTGCCGACGGAGACAGGGGGGAGGGGGGGTCAGAATGGAAATTTCTGGCTTATTAGCTGTTGTCAGCCAGTCCTACCTAACACCAAAGTGCGGAAAATAAGGAGCTCGAACTCGCGGCCTGTTAGGTAGAAGTCCAACGCCTCTAGCCACTGAGCCACGAGTTCGTTGCCTTGTCGGTTACGATTGTATGTACGTATGCTCAACCCACATATGTTCTTCGGGAAAAGAAAGTCTACTGTGCAAATTTTCGATACTCTTTCCTTAGGTTGTCGTCCGACACAGACAAAAAGCAAATGGGCCAAAACAACTAACATCTTAAGTGCACTTTAAAATCGAAAATTTCTTAGCGTTTGTACCAGTAAGCAACCGCCATGTGCGTCGGTCCGTTCTGATTGGCTCTCCTCACTTCCACTTCTCCCTGAGATTTCTGTACGCGGCATCCAACTCGATATGCTGGTTGAGGCATGATTCATCTGATTTTATGACCTCGGGGAACTCTCGACCTTTTTTGAAAGGGCAGACAGCAACAATGCAAGTTCTGTCCCAAACGAAGGTGTGCCCAGTGCCCAGGGTGTCCATGGCTACGTGGGACAGGTAGTCTCGTCTCTTTACTGTTCGTTGATGTTTGTAAACGCGTATAGAGGCGGATTTCCCGGTCTAAATGCGACAAATGGTATTACATCTATCAAAAGGGACCTTGCAGACGATTCTTGTTTAAATAGTTAACCCTATCTATAAGGTGCGCAAGCTGAGTGCGTGAAGTAGTCGTCGGTTTGTCGGCCACTTGACTTCGTGCTTCCTTAGGTGCTTCAACGAATTCGGACACATTTTTAATTCAAGGAAGGGATCGCCATGTATTCGGTTCGGGTGTCTGATGGGAATTCCCTGACTCTTTTCCCTTTGACCCTCGGTGCCTCACGCATTGGTGTAAAAAATCCCTAGGGTATCCATTCTGTGGAAATAATTCGAAGAATTAATCTAGATTTACGGAAATTCCCATGAAGCAATTCAGAAGAGCATCTTACGAGCATATGCACGCTTTCGATACCTTCCCATCTGGCCAGTACATTTATGCGGGAACGAGGTACAAAATGAAACGTGTGAGCGATGAGATAAATCGATTATGGACCGTCTTTAAATACAAGCGGAGTGTCTGAATAGGGGGAGGGGGGGGGGAGAGGAGGCAGTGAGTGGCAGTGCGGATTAGGTAGAGTCGTGTCCCATGGAGAGGGGGCAAAGGGGGTGCGGAGACATGCAGGCAGTTAATCGATCTTTAGCCACGGTTGACGCGGGGCGTGCAAGAGGTTCTTCTGCGCGCACAAGACCGACCTCCATAGCCTGATGGCAGTCGCCTCAGCTGTTGCCAGTAGGCAATGCCCCAGATGCTTAAGGTAGTTAGGTGGGGCCTTGTAAATCACACGGAAAGTTTCGTTGGGGTCCACACGATGCCCAGAATCAACCATATGTGCGAGGATGGAGCTGTGTAGACTTTATTTCACTTTTCCTCAGCCATTTTGGCAAGTGTTCTCGCATTCTTCTGGATAGGCGCCGACCTGTATGACTAATATAACCGGCTCCACAGGAGTAAGTAATTTATTTCGACTGGATATCCTTCTTCGTCAAAATAATGTGTTTTTGATCGACTAAGCAGAATGCTGATAGAACCCTTTTGGTGAGAGATTGGTTGATTGTTCTCAAAATGTAGAGTGGCTTCTGCAAATGGTTGTTTTCCGTAAAGCCATGTGCATAGTGCTTCGTCGGCATTTTGCTGTACGAGAACAACCAGAAACGGGAGCTTACTGTCAACTTCCTTTTCGAGTGTGAATTTATTTCTCAGAATGGCTGGATAGATGATATGACGAAGCGTTTCCGGTCGTCTACAAAATTTAAGGTTAGCTAGCGAAAGAGTCGTAGCCTCTAGTTTCTGCATTGTGATTTTGGCGAGAAAATCAAATACGAATGACCTCATGCGAGCTCCTTTCTGTTCTTGATAGCAGTGTCGATCGAATGGGAATTAAGTTCCAAGATAGGTCTATGAGTTCAAGTACGGCAATTGTGGGAATATCCGTGTCGTAGGACCTCAGGAGTCCCTCCATGCATTGTTTTGCTAAATCAAACGGTTTGGACTTGAAAAGAAAAACTATGTCGAAGGTGACCGCTACTTTATCAGTGGAAATTGTGATTTCATTTATTTACGTCAGAAACTCTGTTGAGTCCTCAGTTGTGTTTGGACCAAAGTCAAATGGCCAACAAACCGACGACTACTTCACGCACTCAGCTTGCACACCTTATAGATAGGGTTAACTATTTAGACAAGAAGTCGTCTGCAAGGTCCCTTTTGAAAGATGTAATACCATTTGTCGCATTTAGACCGAGAAATCCGCCTCTATACGCGTTTACAAACATCAACGAACAGTAAAGAGACGAGACTACCTGTCCCAAGTAGCCATGGACACTTTGGGCACTGGGCACACCTTCGTTTGGGACAGAACTTGCATTGTTGCTGTCTGCCCTTTCAAAAAAGGTCGAGAGTTCCCCGAGGTCATACAATCAGATGAATCATGCCTCAACCAGCATATCGAGTTGGATGCCGCGTATAGAAATCTCAGGGAGAAGTGGAAGTGAGGAGAGCCAATCAGAACGGACCGACGCACATGGCGGTTGCTTACTGGTACAAACGCTAAGAAATTTTCGATTTTAAAGTGCACTTAAGATGTTAGTTGTTTTGGCCCATTTGCTTTTTGTCTGCGTCGGACGACAACCTAAGGAACGAGTATTGAAAATTTGCACAGTAGACTTTCTTTTCCCGAAGAACATATGTGGGTTGAGCATACGTACATATGTATATAGGTAGAGGGGAGTTCACCGACCGTTCTTATGGAATTCACTCGTCTTGTTGTGCCTTACGTTCTCTCTCTCTCTCTCTCTCTCTCTCTCTCTCTCTCTCGAGCCGAACCAGTAGCCACACAGCCGTGCATCATATAAGCAGAATGTTGTTACGGACAAAGACAAGGGAGATTGGAATGGCCATTTCTGACATATTAGTAGTCGTCAGCCAGTCATACCAGTCATATGTATATATCTTACGGTAGGGAGTGCGCAAGCAATAGACTTCCTTTTAACAGTTAGCATCAGTACGGCCAAAACTGCACTTTAACCCCGGCTTAGAAATATTTCTGTCGCACGGAACACAGAAGAATTTTATATAGGGACGGTAACCTTTGCAAATATCTTTTTACTTTACTTATATTTCCACCTTCCGAGGAGGTCTAACATCCAACAACCAAAGTTTTCAGTGGGGGTTGCAAAACTCAAACCTATAAACAGCGCAAATGTTTTCTCCTGGCAACGTGATAGGCCAAAAAAGGAAAATTGTGACAAAATTTATTGGATCGTCAGTGCATTCCTTAAGAGGACACATTTGTTACATTTGGGATAAGATAATAACTGATATTTCCTCTGGGGAACTTTAAAATCACAGAGCAATGCCAGTTTTGAAATCGCGTAAGGGCGTCTCAGCTGCACTCCGTCTAGATCTATATGATTGATAGAACTGACTGCTTTTCAAATGTTTGCTATTTTTACTGTCTACTTACTATTTTCGGTAAAAAGGTATGTTTCTTTTTTCGCCACCGTGAGCGTGCGTAGGTAACCTAAAACGGTGGCATTTGATTACATAACAAAAGAGAGACACTAACTTCATAACGGCTGCTGATTCCGAGCATTCATTAATTGCTGCCACTTTGCCACACCTGTCGGATCAGGCGTGGATGAGTACCTTGTTCAAGACGCAGCGTTTCCTCGTTAGAACTGTATGAACTCAGCCACTTTCAGACTCCATAATCCATTCTATATACACACGACAGTTCTGCCGTCGCTAACGACGATATACACCGCGCGCTTCACAGCAAGTTTGGTGCACGGATTGTGACTGACGCGTGGGACGGACTTGCGTTACATCTACCCCACTCTCTCCTCCCTAACCCCTTTGAGCTTAGTGTCATGACAGAGTCAAGAAGACCGGAGGCGGGATTGGGCACAGTGGCTGACAAATCTAGGGCATGTAGCCGCCTAACAACTACATCCTATAAATACTGAAACAGCTGGGCAATTTACCACCCTTGTCTGACTCCGTCTCTGATGATGGATTCGAGTGATAATCCGAAACGTTGGGCTAATAAGACCTAAGCAACTCGCCTGCGCAGGAAGGACCAGGTTTTAGCACAAACAAGGGGTGGCTGAGACCATAATTTAGTGGGAGTGACGTAGAGGCCATATAAAGAAGGAACCATTCCAATCTGACTCTTTATCCTGAGAGGACCGTGTCGTCCTGTCAGTTGACAGCCTTTCAAGCCAGAAAACACAAGTTACCTTGACAAGCATGGGATGTGGGAGGCACTAGGGCAAAACGTGGCACTTCTGGCGCGGGAGCGAAGACTACGGACATGCGGAGGCAGGCGCTTATGTAGGAGACGCGTAGTCAGTTGCTAAAGAACTAAATTTAGCAAAGACATCAAGGAATGGTCTAGAGTGATTGTCAGCTGAGTGGCCACTGACTGAACGCTACTGCCTATATGCACAAGATATTTTCGGTCAAACGCGTCTCTTGTCAGTACATCCTTTTACACCTGGGACATAAGGTGCGTGTCCGATGGTACTAGTTCGTTTTAGTTCTCCTCTGGAAGGTTGGCGCATTTTTATGCACAGCAACATTTCCTTATGGCAGGGATTTTTGGTTTAAATTATGCATGTCAGCTTTTCATTGGCCAAAGTTTCCGGTAAGAGTGGTGGATAGTCTCGGTCGTATTCGGGTCGGCTGTGGTGATGAAATGGATGAGAAGACTTCGAACTTGCAAATATTTCAGTCGGGAGCTGGAGTGGTTTTAAGGAAGTAGGAAATTTGCACGGTACAGCCTGTTCCTCATTTTAGTTACCATGCACTTCTGATTCGGGACTACTATAGCGTTTATTTGTCATTTTATAACTTAAGGATAAAATACAGGATGGGCTTGAGAAAAATTAACTAAGCCTAGGGTTTGAGGTTCCACCCGATTTTGAGGCATACGTGTGAAGTGAGTTTCATAGACACCAGTGGAATAATGGATGTCCTATTAGTGAGTAGCATGTTGTGAACACATTTTTGTCCTATTCCGCACAGGAAGCGCATTAATGTGCACCGCATCATGTAACTGCAGAATATTGCCAAGGCACATGCGTGGTTAGTGTCTGCGCTGGACGTTGGGTTAGAACATTATCTGCGTATAGAAGTCGTTATGATCGTTAAGGTGAATAGCAGTTTTGAGAGAATAAGCTTTCGTTTCGGTTTTGACCAGATTTTGCAGTATCCTTCTTAGCTCGTTCCTACTTTGATCCTCACATTAAAGTAAAATTTAATCTGCCCCTTTTGGCGCACCTACGGAGCTACATTAAACCCCATACCTCTACACAGTGCTCATCAGTGGCTTGCTTGGGAGAGGGTACAGATTTTGAGATGAAATGGGGATCAGTTGGGGGCCGCAAGCGCTGAGATGCATCAGACGAAAAGAACGCACCAGCGACAAAATCATCAGGGAAGTTTCGCTCTAGATGAAGAAACGCAGACAAGCAGCAAATGCAGCCTAGAGGAAACTCCGATATAAATAAAGCTAACTACGCTATGTGCTATCGAGCCGCTCGACAGAAGGCACCTTGTGGATCGCAGAGCAAGCCTGGTTTGCTCAGACAAGGCATCTTCGAAAACCTCTGCAACTGAGGTAGGGCACCAGGTACGCGGGGAAAACTGCATTCTACTTGCGGTAATGAAAATGCTTGGTAACTAATGGGAGATGGCACCCAAAAAATTCCTCTCAACCAAAGCAGCCTGTCCTATGGGACAGGTGGTAATAGGGGTTTTATGGGTGGGGCCTTCGAATGTGTGGATAAGTATGAATAATAGGAAATGCTTAATGCAGAAGCGAAAGTTGCGTTCGGTACGATTTTGGCAAAATTGTGTACGTAATCAGGGGCCGTTATCATGGGTTAGTAAAGAAGTTTGACAGAATAGATCTTCGGCAAGGTTATAATGAAGGCTCCAAGTATTTACTACGTGCGAAGAATGCCTACTACAGCGTGTAAGTAGATTGTGGTTTATTCGATACTCTCCTAAACATAGTCGTCCATCATAGACTCTTGCACATTCGATTGATAAAAGGTGCAAGAAACAAACTGGGAGAGCTGGCATGCATACATTTCTCGAGATGGTCACGAGGCGCGTGCTGGTTCAGCTATAGACTGAGGAATCAAGCAGTGACAACAATATCCTGATAGAAGCGAACAGGCGAGTTCCAGGGGGCAGTTCAGAGGACGAAAATGCGATCACTGGAACAAGAAATTTATTGGCCTGACGTTTCGGATTCTCACTCGAATCCATCATCAGAGGCAGTCGCAGATAAGGGTAATGGTGGCACAAGGAGTTCAGTATTTATAGCACGTGGCTGCCGTGGGACCATATGCGCGCTGTAATTAACAGCTCTCGCAATCACCGCTGGGGTCGTAATTGATGCGGTGGTGCCTTGTCAGTCCGAGTCCTATTCGTTAATGGCCATGATTTCGTCATCCGTGCTGGATGCTGGTGTGACGATTGCTCAGCAATTTGGCTCACTGTCACTGATATAATTGCTCGCCCGCGCCCTTCCCACGAGACAGATTCCCCTGCCCAAAGAAAATCTCAGCACGGAATATGGTACCGGAAGGTCATTGAGCTTGTAGATGGATGAGGGCCTGAGAACCATGACACGAGCAGCTCGCGGCTCACGCGGTTGTCACCCCTTGCGAGGATTTCGGCCTCTTCAAATTTGAAAATACGGCCGGTCCCGTCGAGTGTACCGCCACCTGAGAGTTAGCATCTCCCCGCCTCACTGCTGCTGCGTGCTCGGCAATTCGCGTACGGAGTAATCTCACAGTTTCTCCGACATAGTTGCTTTGTCCGAAACTACATCAGATCAGGTAAACGACTCCAGACGTTTCTTGCCGTGGCAGCGGGTCTTTTGGCCTCATGACTTGGCGCCTAATGGTTGCTTCGGGGCTGCGTGCAATCCCAACTCCAAGTAGAGTGAGAAGACGACTGACGGATTCCGAGAGGTTTTTCACGTACGGAAGAGCCCGCCCAAATTTGGGGCCGGTTGGATTTGGTCTCTGGTGTCGTTTTCGAATGCACTGGTTGGCAAAGTTGCGCAGGTAACCACTGTCTCTCATTACCTGTCGAGGATATTATAATTCAGCAGCCTTGTCTTCCAGTTCACTGCAGTGCGTCTCAACGCGCCAGTATAGCGCCCTTACGCAACTGCGTTTGTTGTCGTTTTCCTGAACACTTTAGTTTTTAGGCCGCCACAATCTTTGCGGCAAACGAGGACATCCAGGAAGGCCAGCTGATTGTTTTTCTCCTCCTCCATCGTAAATTGAATGTCCGGGTAGACGGCGTTGAGTTTTTCTTTGAAAGTCAGCACCTGATCCCGTTCGATGACGACGAAGGTGTCATCCCCTTACCGAGCCCAGAATTTCGGTCTGTGGTGTCGGAAAACCAGCGACTTCAGCCGTTGTAGGAGCGCCTCGGCTATGAGTCCCGAAATCGGCGAACCCATTGGCGTTCCCTTCACCTGCTCGTGGACTGTTCCGTCGAAGGTAAAGTACGTCTTGAGACAGAACTTCAGGAGCTGGATGATTTGGGCGTGTCCGAGGCGATTCTCCGTTTCGTCGTACTTCTCTCGTAAGAGTAGTTCGATGGTCTCGACTGCCAGGTCCTGCGGGATAGAAGTAAAAAGGGGCGTGACATCAAAGGAAATCATGACATCGCTTGGCAGGAGACTTACTCCCTTAAGTTTCTCCAAGAATTGCGTTGACGGGCTGTCTGTGGTGTTCGAATCGGAGGTCCGAAACTTGAGACGTTGGAACAGCCACTTGGCCAGTCCGTAAGTTGGAGTGCCCTTTAGTGATACGATAGGCCGGAGAGGAACGCCCTCTTTGTGCACTTTTGGGAGACCGTAGAATCGGGCTAGGGCCGTTTCTTGTGCTTTCGCCATGCGTCGGTCAATTAGCGATTTTGCACTTGAGTTCTTCATTGCCAACAGTGTCGCGTTAATCTCGCGTGTCAGCGTTTCTTAAAATGCTTTCCTTTTTCTGAAAAAAACTAATGAAATAAATATCGGAGGTCCCTCGAGAAACGGGTGTAATCATTACTGGACAACCTTGCTCACCGTCGATGACATTGAAAACTTTGTCTGCCTGTGTGCTCTCCACAAGGTTAATTACTCTATCCAGACGAATTCGCAGTACAGAATATAGGGTTAGGAGTCCACAGTGTTTCTCTATAAACGGCCGACCGACGAATCATGACTCAGCAGTTCGAGAATCATGTGGCTTTCAACTCTTGCTCATCGAGTTCGAAGGACTGACCGAGTCCTGTTAGATTCGTGACAACCTGGAGGCTGGTATCGTCCCTTACTGTTTGTGTATGTTCTGTCATCCGCGCCCGCAGCAGTCTCCAAGTTGCCCAGACGCAGTTGCCTTGTCCGCCGAGGGGTGGTATCGAAGTGGCTTAGGTTGGGGTTGCATGTGGGAGGTGCGTCCAAGTGACCGCATGGGCAGTTGCGACAGCGTGGACGCAGGTATGTCCGAGCTGAAGTCAGTCGAGTGGCTTCAGGTCAGCGCGTCTAGGACGGCTCACTGCAAGGAGATGAATGACCTTGAGACAGCGAGGTCTTGGACAATGACGCCAGACTGGCCATAATGGCTGTCCGCAACAGCTCCCCGCCAGACACAGAGCAAAGCAATGGTGTCGATCGTGAAACAGATAATAAAATGAATTAATTTATGCTGTGCACATGCGTGTTCGAGGGCATGTGCCGATGATGACAGAAATAGCTCGGACCGCGTACGATGGTGATGCTGCGACGTGTACAGAGGTTTAGTTGAGGCATCAACAATGGGGGTGTTGGCGTGGCTTCGTCAGTGTGTGCCGGTGAGTTGGCTCATTGGTATGAGACAGAATAACGTTCTGGACACAAGGCATCCTGGTGAGTGTTGAGTCGGACGAAGGCGTCAGTAAAATAGGCCAACCGTCAACCAGACACAAGAATTGAGACAGAATGAAGTGTCGAAAGTGTGAAATTCATCGTTGTACGCACAGTAGCATGTTGAGTGTATTAAAATAACTCCCGAATGATGGTTTCGTTGATAATGGACTGAAGAATGCCATAGACAAAAGAACAATATGCTCAGATGACAACATTGACGGATGACTGATCTATGCAATTTGATTTGGGTTTGACCTGGACCTGTATGCCTGAGTTTTGTTGACAACATCAATCTCCATTGGTGACGGGACGTGGGAAATTTGCTTTTTCCTATCCATGAGCACAATGAATGCCACAAGATTCGGACGACAGCCTACTGAAGGTCAAGATCGAGCCGCTGGTTTTAAATTTGAAGATAAGTGGAGGATATTATTTTAAGTGGTTTTTCTGTGAGACCTAACGATTTTAGTACTTGTTTTTTTGGTTGAATTTCCTTAAATACAGGCCTCTTCTCTCAGAACTGCCTGCTGCCATCTCCTTTGGAGTTCTGCTAGTCTATGCCCGTTGTTCACTAATCGCACTCTGCAATTTTCATTTTGTGCATCCGATTTCTCTCTAACTGTTGTAATTTATTTTTACATCGTTAGCCCCTAGCTGAAATTCAGTCAACTTGTCTGCCAGAAGTTTTCTTAATCACAAATTGCCTCGAGACAAGATGAGACCAAAAGTCACTGATCGACGTAAGCTCTCGGCTCTTGCAAGTAAGCATGGCCTAACTAAACGTAAGTCAGAAGTTTTACCTAAATCTAAGTCAGATGATATTACTAGTCAGTCGTCACCCGTTGTAATTGGTCGACAGCTTGATCTGTCTGCACTTGACCACTGCAATGACTTTATGCTAAAGTTTGGCTCTTTGCTGACAATTCTTGGACATTTATTCGACGGGAACATCTCCGATATTCCCTCTGAAGAATGTAGGCGTCTCGACTCACTTGTTCACCTGATCGCCAGTGAATCTAGTGATAGACAGAAGCGTTCTTACAACTTCCTGCTAAAAAATGTTCCTCGATCTGCTCGGCCAATTGATGTTGCGACCAATTTCCTGTATTCATGTGGTTTCAACTACAAAATAGCCGATGCCAAACGTTTGTCCTCCCGTAGCAAAAATCCACCCATCTTAGTCAAATTGTTTTCATCAATCGAGGTTGACACAATCTTTACCCATCGAGAGCGTGTCACTGCGTACCTAGAAAAGGCAAAATTTTTCCTTTGTTATGATCTTACTCCTATGGAGCGTAGAATCGGGTCTCTCTTCTCACGTAAACCCACTGCTTCTCAGTCTAATGCTCCCCAACTCGGTCATAATACAAGTGGCCGTAAGGATTCAGCTTCTCCTACTCCTGCGACATCTGACTCCCTCCTTCCTTTTTCTCCTACGTCTCCATCTCACTCAAGCCACTTGACGCATTTGCCTGCCCCTAAACTTGCAGCAGCAGCAGCAGCAGCAGCAGCAGCAGCAGCAGCAGCAGCAGCAGCAGCAGCAGCAGCAGCAGCAGCAGCAGCAGCAGCAGCAGCAGCAGCAGCAGCAGCAGCAGCAGCAGCAGCAGCAGCAGCAGCAGCAGCAGCAGCAGCAGCAACAACAACAACAGCAGCAGCAGCAGCCCCATTTGTCGTTTCGTATCCTCCGGATAGTCCCACTGAGACACATGGAAATCCGCCTACATCAGTTAGACCGATAACTTCTGTTGTCCAACTGCGTGCTGTAAGGTCTACAGTTAAGTCATCAGTGGCTTGGCGTCAGAACGGTGAGACTAGAAAATTGAATCAGACTCCGACCCAAAAGATAGGTAGTACAGTTCCATTTAGGGGTACGACGCCTTCTCTTAGATCTAAGAAGTCTGTTCAGCCCAGCACGTCTACAAACTCCGCAGCTCCAATTATATCCCCGAATAATTCTCTGTCCTGCGTACCGGTTACTTATCAAAGCCCTACTATATATCCAGCAAATAATTCATACATGAATTTCCCTAAATCATTTATGCCCCAACCTAGTTCAGGCTTCCCGCCACTTAAGGCCAATTGCTCTCAGGTACGTCAACCTATCTCCTTTGACTTCCTACCTAGACCTGGTTTCCCACCCTTTCATTCTTATAGCGGACTACCCTCACCCACTAGCCCCTACTTTCCTCCTAGCCCCCTTCTCCTCCCCTTCCTCCACTATTTAAGTACCAACGAGTCTATCCATGTTCTAACTCCCCTAGAATTCCAATCTTTGAAAACTATATCCCCACATCCTTTAGGTCTCATACTCAGCCTTCTCTTGCTGACTCCCCGTACGTCAATAACTCTAGATTAACTGGTACTTATTCTCCAAGTGTCATTAATTCACAGCTTCAGATCTCATTAAGTAACACATAAGCCGTTTGAAATACTCACACTGCTCAGGAACGGACGGGATTCCGAATTCGATTATTAAACAAGCGTCCGACCTTCCCATATTGCTCAGTCATTTATTCTCTGTTTATATTTCAAAAGGATTCTTTCCTGAAACATGCAAAACGTCAATTATCATTCCCGTTTTCAAGCCAGGATCTCGGTCCGATGTTAATAACTATCGGGGCGTGCACAAAACGCCGTCTCTAGCAAAGCTTCTTGAAAGGATTATTTTCAATGAAATTCTTGACTTCTGTCTAGCTAATCGGCTTCTGAGCTCTAGTCAGCATGGATTTTTACCTGAGCGATCCTGCGAAACATGTCACTTGGCTTTTCTTAATCTAATCACTTCTCTTCGTAATGAGCGGCAGTCAGTGGTAGTTATTTACTTTGATCTTAGCAAAGCCTTTGACAAGGTGCCCCATAGACGTCTTTTAGTAAAATTGGAAGCTCTCGGCATCCGGCCGCCTCTACTCGACTTAATCAGGTCCTATCTGTCTAACCGATATCAGAAAGTCATGGTCGGTACTAGCTACTCGACACCCCACTCGATCACGAGTGGCGTACTTCAAGGCACGGTCCTGGGTCCGCTACTCTTCCTTCTGTACATCAATGATATTTCGACTGAACTCGGAAATTCGCAAACTTTTACTTATGCCGATGACCTCAAGTGTGTTTACTCATACTCTAAGGAGACCGCTAACGTTTGTTTTGAAAAAAAATTAATGCCGATTTACTACGCTTAAGCAGATGGGGTTCGACATGGCAGATGGAGTTTTCATCATCCGAGTGTAGTTTCATGTCTTTTGGTCCTACCAAACTTCCTGGTCCCATAATTTTTCAGAATAACCCACTCTCAGAATGCCTCACCATAAAGGACCTAGGTCTAAGTTATACAAATAAGCTTGCTTTATCACCTCATGCAGATAGAATCTCTGCCAAAGCCGCGCAGATATGTGGATTCATATCGCATAATTTTTTCCCTCCGGAAATGAAGCTAAGACTTCATCAAATGTTTGTTCTTCCAGTCCTCGAATACTGCTGTCCTTTCTTCGGTTTAATGAACTCCTGCGACCGTAATAAAATCGAAAATGTTCACAGGGTTTTCACCCGGAAACTGTTCTCTCAAGCTTCGTCCAGTAGTTCTTCTACTTAGAGATGTCAGATGGCGAACATGACTTTTTTGTGGGTTAGAAGACTCGAAGCTGGCCTTTGCTTCTTTTTTCGCATCAACTCTAGCTCCAGTCTTCCGCTCATTGACACTCTCACTCCAAAGGATCGGTCTTATGCCACGCGCAACTCCTGCATGGTGATTCCGCCGCCTCTTTGTACTACATCTAAGCGCTCCCTCTTCTTTGCTTCCAAATATGCCTTCCTTTGGAATAATCTTCCGCCTGAAATTAGATTATCGCCTAAGTTACTGGTATTCAAGTCGAAATTGCGCAAACATCTTACACCGGAAAGCATAAAGGCACTGCTAACGGTCTCATTCCCGAACACTCTGATACTTGACTTCGAGAAGGGTCCTCCTGGGATTTAGTGGTACATCTAGTGGTAACTCTTAATTATGTCATTAGAAACCCCTGTTTTAAATTGGTTTCTAAATCCACTGCTATCACTCCTCCCCCACAGCGACAATTTTCGCGGTTTTTGATGTCATCTCCCGCATTCCGACCTCATGCGGTCTGTCGACTCTCAGGGCGGAACCCTCAGTATTCACTGTCTACTAGTAGTTCGGTCGTACCTCCCTTCCCCACTGCTCGGCTGAGCTCGAAGCGTGCTGTGGCCGATCGCATCTGGGTTCCTCTCGTCTGGCCTCTTTGACGCGGCGTATCAATCCGGCCCAGACGATCGCAATTGGGAATCCCGTATACAATGCCATACGCAAGCCAGTCCTGTCTGACCCACATTCGTACCCCTCAAGGCTGAGATTTATTGCTACCCTGACGATGACCGACAGCATTCAGTTATATACCGCCACCTACAGGCCAGTCCTGCTCGTTTTTTTCTGTTATTATTTTTATGGAGGGTTTTTTTTCTCCTGTAAAATCAATCCAACCATTTTTAACTTTTTGTAAGGAGTTTTTTTTCACCCCTCAATCATCATGTTTCTCAATGGACTTCTAATTCAGAAACTATGAATTGCATTTTGTAAAGATTCGGCCTACCTCGTCTAAAACTTGCATGTAAATTTATTTTAACTTGCTTTGATGGGACCCCGACGGGTCTTTAGTAATAATTATCTATCTATCTAAAAGCGGCAAGGCAAAGTCGAGTGGGAATTTTGAGACGATTGACTTCGGCCACATTTAACGGTTGGCTTCGATCACTTCCGGATCGTCAATTTGTGGGAGCTAGACGGTGAGAATGCGTGCTCAGAGCGCTACAATGGCTGGGCAAAATCCCAAGTTGCTTCATGCACTAAACGGAAGCGGAATGTCGGCTTTGGACACCTCGTATGGGCAGCACTCCGGTTCCTGCTGCGATGTAGTCGTTTATGTTCAGTACATTAGGTAAACGGGATAATTTACTCAGCTGCCTTTCATGTTAAGTTTCCGAATTCTCATATTTTCTGCTGAAGAGTAGTCCGATTAAAAGCTCCCCTTCCTGAGAGTTACTGATGCTGCCTTCTCTGAATGTAAGTGATTTATTATGTTCTTTGCGACCCAGCATAATTTCGAGAGAGTAAGGTCGAAATGTTTCAGTCTGATTGATGTGTGCAGACAAATTCAACAGAATGGCATTTGGCTCACAATAAGGACAAACACAAACAAGCAGACAAAAGCAAGCGGGCAAGAACTGCAAAAAAATAAAAGGCAACAGTAGGGATTAAACAAAACGGCATTTAGTTTTCAACAAAATAAACACAAAAAACGTAACCATCAGGGCCGTGCAGTAGCTCTTCAGCGGGAAAGTTCCCGGATCTGACGCGATCCCTGCTGAGATCTACAAGCACGGTGACCCCAACTCGTAAATCATCTGATGGCGACAATCCAGGAGATGTGGAGTCAAGGAGAAGTCACGCAGGATTTCAAGGACCCACAATCGTCCACCTTTACAAGCGTAAAGGGAACCGCTAAATCCTTGCCAATCACCGGGACATTTCGCCGGTAAACATCACCGGAAAGAAATTTGTTTGCAATCTTCTCAGCCGTCTGAACAATCATCTGGAATAAGGTCTCCTGCCGGAAAGCCAGTGCAGCCTCCGCCATCATCGTGAGACCACCGACGTGATCCTCGCCATCCGTCAGCTACAGGAGAAGTGTCAGGAGATGCGGACCCATTCGGCTGTTACGAACGATTCACTCAGATGGTGCGCCAGCTCCACGGTGACATGATGGCGCGAGTCACAGACAATGGAGCTGTCTCAGACGCATTTGAAGTGACCAAAGGAGTGAAGTAGGGCCGTGTTCTCGCACCTACCCCCTTCAGTGTCATGTTTCCTGTCATGCTGATTGACGTCCACCCTGACAAACGTCCTGGGGCTCGCATTGCCTACAGGACGGACGGCCACCCCCTCAATCAGCGACAGATGCGCTTCCAGTCGCGTGTATCCACAAAGACGTCCACGAACTTTTCTTTGTCGTCGATTTCGTCCTCATCACCGCCTCGGGAGGGAACTCAGCTCATTTTTCTCATCACGAACAACCTGACGCGCTTTAAGCTATCACAGTGCGCTAAAAGCCGTGACTTAGACGGTTTTCGACTGACGGGATGAATTGAACCTCGCAGTCGGCACAGTCTTGTGTGTGGTGTGAAGTGGCCGACTGGTGGTCTAGGAATCAGGCTGCAATAGCTCCTTCCTAATGTGACCTTTATGTTACTCTTACTCCGTGAGATCGAAGCCAGGTGTGACGGCTTTGGTCGCGCAGCCACCTTTTTGTTTTTAGTTAAAATCCTGGTCACTTGCCGTGTGAACCAGGGGATGTAGGATGGAACGCCTAGGTGTGGGCTTGACCATGCCATACACCTACGTCCTCCCCCGCCTCCAGTCTTCTGGACTAGGTTTTGACACCGTGTCCAGGAGGGTGGAGAGTGCGGTAGATACACCGCATGTCTGCTATCGCTATAAACAAATTCATGCGCAAGTCACCGTCCCTGCTCTCACCTTGATGTAAAGCACGCGGTGGACATCCTCGGCACCGACGGTTGAACTGCCATTTGGCCCCCCGTTTCGCCGGGTGATCTCTACAGCTCTTTTACTCCCATAGGGACAAGGCACTCTCATTGAAAACAGGCACACAATACATGCCATATTTGGCATGCGTATACAGGCATTTTGGTTTTATGATTCACTGCGCCAATT